AACTCGAGAATCATCAAAGACACAAACTAGAAGCTAAATCTAAGAGAGGAATATTTGTAGGCTATTCAAGATGCAGAAGAGCTTATCGAGTATTTGATATCACAGCGAGAGTTATTCTTGAAACCGCAGACATTCACTTCAGAGAGAACAATAATGTCATCTCGGAAGAAAAACAAAGTGATAATAATACGGACACTTTGTCTCCTCTCTAATTGTAAATACGCTGCTGTATCACCTCATAAGCATAAATAAATAAATACGGACACTGACACATATTTCTTCATTCAGGAGGATGAACAACAGGACAATCATGTTCTATCAGATGTTGATATTGAAGAGCCAGCACCAGATACCATGATCAACAGACAGACAGAGTCAAGTGGATCAGACAGACCACAAAGAACTCGAACAATACCTAAAAGATTCGATGACTACGTTCTGGCTACTACGAATGAAACCATTCCGAAAGACTATGAAGAAGCCATCGCATGCGAAGACAAGAAACATTGGGAGAACGCAATGCTTGAGGAAATACAGAACATGTACTCGCATCAAGTATGGGAACTGGTACCTAGACCTGTAAACGCTAAAGTTGTCAAAAGTAAATGGGTGTTCAAAATATCTAAAGACCAAGAAAACAAAACTTACAAAGCTAGACTTGTTGCAATGGGATACAACCAAATCCCAGGAAGATATTACAACGAAAGTTTCAGCCCTGTAATTAAAATTGCCACCCTCAGGACTATTTTGTCAATGGCGGCAACAAAAGATTCAGTCATTAAACTATTTGATGTGAAAGCAGCCTATCTAAATGGAAACATTGAAAACACAATATTCATGGAACAACCTGCTGGATTTGTCAAAGACAGAAACAAAGTTTGCAAACTCAACAAAAGTATTTACGGTCTACCTCAATCCGGAAGATCGTGGCATGAGAAATTCAGTCAAGTACTTCATGACTGTAGACTGGAAATAAAGGATGTAACATGTAAAGGCATGTTTTTGGGAATCAAGATCATACAAGACAAGGAGGGAATTTCGCTACAGCAAAGCCACTATGTACAACAAATATTGCAGAAATATGGACTGGAAAATTGTAAGGAAGTTCCAACACCAGGTCCCAAAGAAATCAATTTGGACAATCATATTGAAGATGACAATTGTGATCAGCACACTTACCAAGAAGCCCTTGGAATGCTAATGTTTCTAGCTGTTAACACCAGACCCGACATCGCTTACATCACTAGCAAACTTTCACAGTACTCCAGACAACCAAAACAGATGCACTGGACAGCAATCAAAAGAGTGATGAGATACCTACGAGGAACAATTGACCTAGGAGTGAAATTTGAAAGAGGAAAGACTGGAATCCTGAAGTCCTACACCGATGCCAGCTGGTCGACCACTCATGATGGAAAATCCTAAGGCGGATATGTATTGAAGCTCGGCGAAGCAACTATAGACTGGAGAAGTAGTAAACAACCACTCGTTGCCCTCTCCACAATGGAAGCGGAAATGATAGCTGCTTGTGAAAGCTGCTGTCAAATCAAGTGGATAATAAACCTACTACGAGAGCTGGAAGAATGGAATTTCATGGAAAAACCAACTGCGATCTATACAGACAGTCAGTTATTGATCAACTGGATCTCCAGCCCTAAACAAAGCAGTCGCTGTAGACATATCAACAGAAAGTACCACTTCTTAAGAGACTGTTTCGAATCCAGAGACATCTGCCTTCTGTACAAGCCATCTCAGGACCTGGAGGCGGATATCTTTACAAAGGACCTATCCCGAGACCAGATGAAAAAACACATGGATAACCTCAGCATCGTGGGAGTAAAAGACAAAGTAAGGAGGGAATTGTTACGCAAACTTTGACTTTAATCATCATCGATGCCACGTGACTACTATGACGTCACCACTTCCAACTTCTACCTTCAAACCTGGCTGTTATGTTTACCGCTAACTTGTTTTAACAATTTGTATGGGAACAAGTCGTTCCTTAAATAAATATATATTTGTTTTTATCTAAAGGGATGTCCTCGTAACTACTAATTACGTGAGTACAAAAAACAACTAGAAATCCTTAAAAGAAACATCGTTTTTGCTAAGCCTATATCACCAACCTTTATCAGGTTATTATAACATATTTAATGTATGTCAACATCAAACTCAGCGCCACATCTGTTTGTTGTTGATACACATTAAATATGTTATAATACCTTGATAAAGGTGGTGTTCAGCCAACTGAAATATTGGTAAAATATATGATATTTTGATCCAATATATGCATTTTTAATTAAATATTTATTTATGAATTGCTATATTTTAAAAAAGAAAAAAATATATATAAATATATTTCTGAAAATAGAGCAATCCATACTTAAATCATTAGATAATAGAAAAGTCATATATTGGATTGTATAAAATTTTTATTTGCCAATATTTCGGTTGGCTGAACGCCAACCTTTATCAAGGCATTACATTTTTGTATAAACAAACTCAGCGCCGAATAGTGTTATAATATCACTGTTGAAATAATAATAATAATAATAAAGTAGGTGGTGGAAATGCATAAAAATATTATTATAAAAGTTACAATTATAATAATAGGATAGACCTCATCATTTTTTATCCTTTAACATTTTAAGACATTTAACTTATTCCGATTGTGATTCTATAATTATATTCTATGCACAAATTTCTCTCTACTTTGTTTTTTCTAATTATTTCAACTATGATATTATATCGCTATACGGCGCTGATTTTGGTCATACAAAAATGTAATGCCTTGTTAAAAGTTGGCGTTCAGCCAACCAAATTATTGGCAGATAATATCTTTATTCAATCCAATATATGCCTTTTTATTATCTTAAATATATATTATATAATCTTAAATACAAATATTTATTTTTTTTAAAACATGTATTTTATTTTCATCATTGACTATTCTTTTATTTTTAACCATAAATTTAGAAATAACACTTTGAATAATGTTGTAAATATGTATAGTTAACCTACCTATTTTCAAATTCACGAATATAGAATTCATTTTATAAATTCTATATTACTGTGAAAAATAATTATTGTGTAATTCCTTACAAGTAATTGAAAATATAAACTACTTGGAAGGTAAATAATTATATTTCCCTTTTAACGACTGCACCTTCAATTCTTTATCATTCCAACATCAAAACATTTTAATCATAACATATATATCAAGTTTTACCGCAAGTGTTTCTTTTCACAGTACGGAAAATCGTAATTTTAATTATTTTAAGGAGAAATAAAGAGTATTCCTATCCTTAGGGATGAAGTATGAAAGGATGAATTGTGAAGAGTATTATTCCGTTCATCATTACTCTTCACAATGCATCCTTTCATACTTCATCCCTAAGGATAAAAACAGTCGTTATTTTTCCTCAAAATAATTGACATTATGGTTTTTCGTACTGTGTGTGAATAGAAACACTAAAACTTGTTAAATGTCGTTTCATAATCATAGCCGCATTAAATTGCATCATATATATAGATACTTGACTTATCGGCCTTGATAATATAATATGATAAAGGAATTATAAGGTAATATCTGAGGTAGAGGAACCTAGCCAACTACAACTAGCTAACAATGTGACAGAGTAGGTCGTGCTTGGGGAGATAACAGCCTCATATTGATTTCCACTAAATGAGACAAGAAATTCCAACAATTGTTGCTTGGATTTTAATCTAACAATGGTCCTATGAATATCTCTCTGTTAGTTCGCATGTTGTTTAAATATAGAAAATCTTTATCGCTTCACTTTCACACTTTCTTTTATATCTCATTGTTTCTCTTTATTGGAAAACAATTCTTCAAAATTAATTTATATTGGATTCCTCGAAGAATATAGAAATTCTCGTATATATGTTATATAGATATTGTATATTGGATTGTTAAGTTATTCTACATTGTTTGGAACAATGGAAATCTAGTGTAAGAAATACATATCTATATTTGGCAATGTATCTTTAATAAACAAAAGAAACCATACTATCTTTAAGAAAAAGGCATCTCCTTATCGTGCAACTGAATTTGCTCAACTTGGCTTGCGCCATCTTCGGAATAAATATCAATTTTTCGTTGATTTTAATTATTCTAGAATTGGCCAAATACCTATATTTTATTTAAAAAGAATGGGAATTTGATCAAATCGACGAACATTTGATATTTATTCCGATATATGGCGCAATCTCTTAGAAACTTCGGCCCAGGCCCATAAGAAAAGATAAAAGATACAAACATTAAGCAATAGTAAAACGAAATTTGAAATTATCCCGCATGGGTTTCTTTTCAACGAAAAATTCAAATTTCATTTCAACGTAAAAATATGTCCAGGGTAGCCTAGTGGACATGGCATCTGCTCGGTAAGCGGAACACTGTAGGTTCGATTCCCATCCCTCGACACTTTTATTTTTCCGTTTATCATTACTCTTCACAATTCATCCTTTCATATCTCATCCCTAAGGTTAGAAATAATCGTTATTTCTCCTTGAAATAAATTTTGATTTTTCGTTGAAAAGAAACTCATGCGGGATAATTTCAAATGTCGTTTTACAATCACAAGCCGCATTATATTGTATTAAGCAATAGTGTTTGTTTTTTAAACAACAAATCTCAATTGTTCTTTTTTCGATGATATTTATTGGGAGAGCTCAGCTCATCAGTGGTAAATTATCCCATTGATCTTGCCAATATAATCTTCCTTAACGTTTTTTTAGAGTCCTAATATTGTAATGGATGATTCTGTTTATATATGCCAAAATGTAGGATGGAGGCATAGTTATGGTGTTATTTAGAACAATGCATCTCTAGTGTATAGGAATTAAAATCATTGTTCATTTTTATTGTCCATTAATATATACAGTTATTAGAGTCATCAAGCAACAATTCTTAATAATCAATTATGTCACCTTTTGATTTGTGAATGGAATAAATACCCAAATATGGCCATTTCTTATAACCATCAGTGGTTCAGTGGTAGAATGCTCGCCTGCCACGCGGCGCCAGGCTCGGATTCGATTCCCGGCCGATGCATGTTTTTTCACAATTTTAAAAACTCATTTATATATTATACAAGAATGACATCCACGGCGCTAATTTATAATTGTAACGAACAGTATTTGAATAAAAGCATTTAATCAGGTAAAACCCGGGCGTTGCCCGGGTCATTCGTCTAGTATTTTGCAAACATAATAAAACATATTGGTCTTTATAATACAATATAATGCAGCTTATGATTGTAGATCGAAGTTTGACACAATTCATTCTATCATAATCCATCCCTAAGGTTAAAAATAATCTTTATTTAACCTTAAAATAAATTTCGATTTTTCGTTCAAAAGAAATATTTGCGGTATAATCAAACTTCGTTCTACATACTGTTCATATTGAGATGAAAAATAATGGGGTGATTAGCTCATCAATGGTGAACCCTCCAATTAATTCAATTAACAAAACCATTTTAGAGTTCTAATACTGTATTGGACGATTCAGCTTATATATGCTACATTGTAGGGTAGAATCTTAGTTATGGTAATGTGTAGAACAATGGCAATCTAGTGTAATAATTATTCAACCATCAAACAATGGTGTTTCTTTTACCAATAGAATATATTTGTTGGAGAGTAACTACGCACATCAGCCGTTGCCTAGCACCGCCACCTTCCTACCAGACATCATGTGACAGACATCACGTGACCTGGCGCCACCCCGACCGGTTGTACCTGTAGTGTTTAGTTTAACTTGGGTTGTCTGCCCCTACGTTTGCTTTTGTTTCGCCTCTTTTGTTTTCTGTCATCTTAATTCAATGTTTTGTTAATTAAAAAATAATCTCTGAGATCCAGCTTACTTATCAGTGATTCATCGTTCATCTGTTTAGCCAATATAATCCATCAGACAGATTTTTAATGTTCTAATAATGCTTTAAACAATTCTTCTTATTCATGCGACAATAAAGAATGGAATGATTATTATGACATTTTAGCAAACTATGGACATAATCTTTAAGGACCCCTAGTAGAGTCACACTATATATATAGTGTAATTCTAACATTTTCTAACATTTTTTCATATAAATGTTAGAAAAAAAATAAAAAGCTCAGGTGTTGATATTAAAATAACAAATGGCATATCCTGACCAGAATCAACATGTGCTTTACAGAAGGAAGAGCGCCATCTGATGGAACAGAAATCAACTGAACATTGATTTAGCCTGTTCCCTGATATTTGGCTAACCCAATTTCTTGATAAATCAAGAGAAGCCATTCACGAACGCGTTTCGCGCTTTTAGCTCTCGTCAGCGTGGAGTAGGCTGTACCATTGCGACCCAAAACAAAAATAGCAGGGAACAGGCTAAATCAATGTTTAGTTGATTTCTATTCCACCAGAGTGGAGCTCTGCCTTCTGTTAAGCACACGTTGCTCCTGGTCAGGATATGCCATTTTTTATTTTAATATATATATCGTATATTTTAAAACTGTATAATAATGACACTTTTAGTATATGTTACATATCTCCCAATCAGTTAGAGCCGATCCTATCTTCTATTAAAATGTACACTGTTTCTATTTGCTAGCACCCTCATATTTTGTATATATGCTATATCGTTATTAATAATACCTGTAAACCCCTATTTGTATGTAACACTGAAAATGTTGACGTCAAAATAAAGATCCAAAAAGTGTCGGTCAGCTGGTGGCAGGGACAGAGGAGAGGAAAGAGGCAACGCCCAGCCCATGTGGGGTCCCGAGGGACATTTTTATGGACAACCCCTGTAAACAGGACAGGGTTTAGCAGGGGGTCAGCAGCAGATAGTTCTAGGAGGTGTTTCTGGGGCAGACGGCTCCTGTCTTGCACCCACTCGCTCTCTCCATGTCTCGGTGATAAGCATCCAAGTTTGTGTCATGGCCTCTACCTCTGTCCCGTGGGCTGTCCCCGATCACCCTCGGTGCTAACATCTAGCCCTGCCTCTGCTTCTTGTTGTCCGCGTGTGGGAAGAAAATCAACACCCGCCTCACGTACACGACTGCCAGCTTATCCATATATCGACATATGCAACAATATTACATGTATATATGTATATATATACAACCACAACAAAATGCATTAGGTCAGATAAACCTAAGTGTTTACAATCTCTGAAACCTTGTGTGTAGATTTGAACAGACATCCACCATTACCAATTGAATCAGGTCTTGAGAAATTTTCGAGAAAAAAGCCACGAATGCTCACTGTCTTACAATATTTTTAAAAAAGGTAGTACAGCCATTCCTTTATATATATATATATATTAAAGTTTTTATTTTACTCTGGTTCTATAAAAAGAAATACAATTCTGAAAAGTAAAGTAAAATGCATTTCTTTATTAAATTTAGATGACAAAGATGGATAAAATATAAATCTATTTATATATATATTTTTTTATTATATTAAAACAATATATATAATATTTATATCCTAAGATTTGTAATTATATATATTCAGATGTGTTTTATTCACATGGAAAATGTTGAAATGTAAATGTATTTTTTTTTCATTAGCGATTTTGTCGGATTATATAAAAATGAGATTTATAAATATATTTTATAAGATAGAATATAACATTTTTTCTAAAGAATATATTCCATTAAATCTTTAATATAAAATGTGTGTGAATTAATATTTAATTTTTTATTTTAACAGGATTTTTTCCACAAAATTGTTATTTTCACGGTTTGATTGATTTTATTAATACCTGCAAAACGACAGGAAGGGTTGACCACTGATGAGTCAGGCTATCACTATATTTTTCCATTGTAGTTAGAACAGTAGTAAACGTTTTATTGATAGTGTTGGATCCTATAGTTAATAATTTCCTTAAATTCAATTTTATATATGAAAATTAAGTCAAAATCTTCTAAATTCAATTGTACAATATAAATCTTTAATATGTAAATTTTAAAGCAATCAACATGTATGTAAATTTACAGTTTGGTTAATTAATTAATAGCTTTTTTTGTTTTCTCTCTCTCTCTACCACTAGTATCAAAATCTAAGTAAAATTCATGTATTCAAAATCATGTGGTAGCTACTCATAACTCTAAAACCCAAAGAAAATAAAACAATTCAAGACAAGTGGCAAAGTGCTTCTTAGTATCTTTTACTGAACATTCATGCCACGAACATTATGGTCCCTCATCGAGCCGGATACTTTAAAAAATTAAGGTAAGCCATTTGAAAACTTAAAATTCTCAAAATAAAGTCATGCCCAAATCTGAAGTTAAAATTCGGCACAAATTCAACTTTATTATTCAGGAAATAAAGGATCTGGAATCAAAGAATAAAGCTATTGTAGAATCCAAAAACATACATAGATTAAAGCTATTCCAACAAAAAGTTAATGAAAGTGAAATTAGCCTAAATCAAGTTATCAACACATTATTAGAATCAGAGTTAGATGATAAACAATATGACGATTATTCAAAAGCCAAAGAGGATATTTTTAATATGTTGGTGTCTATTGAGGAAGCTTTATCTTTGATTGAAACCAAAGAAAATATTCATAGTGATAAACAACTGCCCGAATCCAATGTTAATTTACCTAAGATAAATTTACCCATTTTCAATGGTGATTCAGCCAATTGGCTTAGTTTTAGAGAAATATTTAACTCCACCATTAATTCAAATCAAACACTAACGGAAATACAAAAATTTCAATATCTAAATGCATCTGTTAAGGGTCCTGCGGAAAAGTTGATTCGGGGTTTTCCCATTTCTGACAAAAACTACCAGCAAGCATGGGATACCTTATGCAATAGATTTAATAACAGAAGAGAATTGGCTTTTTCACAAATCAACAAAATATTCTCCATAAGGCCATTAAAATCTATTTCGGCTGGTTCTCTCTATGAAATCCTTGATGTTTGCAATGAAGGCATTAGAAATCTCTCAGTGCTAGGACTTGAGAAAAACACATTAACAGATCTAATCCTGATCAATTTTTTTGAAAAAAGAATTGGTGAAGCCCTCAGGAAAGAATGGGAATTAACCCTTCAAAATGAAGAATATCCAACATTTGAAAACTTTGTGAATTTTTTAGAAAAACATGCTAGAAGCCTGCAAGGTATGAGAATTCCTTTGTTCCAGGAACAAAAAACCTCTAGCAAAAATATGATGGCTCACGGCCTTTATGTCAACAAAGGTCAAAATTGTATTTTATGTCATCAAATTCATAAACTAAATGACTGCCATAGATTCATAAATCTTCCCTTGCCTAAAAAATGGGAATTAGTTAAAAAACATAAACTTTGTCAAAATTGCCTTAGAGCAAATCATGAGATATCCAAATGTCTCATCACATCAAGATGTAAAAACTGCAAGCAGAACCATCATACTCTTCTGCATGAATACAACTCTGAACCATCCATTCCACAACCAACAACCTCTCAAGAGATGTTGATTTCAACAAATACCATCTGTAATGTGATGCCTTTGGAAACGGAAACAAATATTCTACTGTCAACAGCCCTTATTAAAGTCAAGGCGAAGGATGGCTCATTTGTGCTATGTAGAGCATTAGTGGACAATGGGTCCCAAATAAGCCTAATTTCAGAACAATGTTGCCACAAGTTGGGACTTGAAAAAAGGAAAAATTCTTATACACTAAAAGGTGTAGGTGACATTGTTGTCAACAGGACAACATCGCAGGTTGAAATAGAGTTCACCCCACATCATAATGATCAATTATTTTCTGCCAGAGCATTTGTGGTTGGAAGGGTAACTGCAGACCTTCCAAACTTCCAAATTCAGTCAGCAGACTTTCCTCATTTAGAAAATTTGCTCTTGGCAGACCCAGAATTCTATGTCACCAAGCCCATAGACCTAATTTTGGGTGCAGATACCTTTGTAGAAATAATTCTAGGTCATAAAACAGATTTAAAGCACCATCCTATAGCACTTAATACCAAGTTAGGTTGGCTTGTTTCTGGGAGAATCCATTCAACTATTAAGTCGAATACTTCGGTAATCAATCACTGTACCACTGAACTTGATTCCAGCATAAGAAAATTCTGGGAACTTGAAGATGTCCCAATTTCTAAGGCCCAGTTGGGTATAAAGAATGCCCCATCTCCAAGTCTACAAGAGTCCATTCAGAACTCTCCAAGTCTAAAGGAGTCCATTCAGAACTCTCCAAGTCTAAAGGAGTTCACTCAGAACTTTCCAAGTCTGCCGGGGTCCATTCAGACCTCTCCAAGTCTACCAGACTCTGTTCAAGGGTCACCGTCTCTAACTTTGAGCCTACAGAGCTCCAAACACAACTCTCCAACCCCCTTACAAGTATCAGTTCACAGCCTGAAAGAGGCCATGTCCCCTTTGGTCGAAATGCCATCAAGCCCTGGGTGCTCCAAGCAGATTCCAATTCCTATAGAAGAAGACTCTATAGAGAGCCAGAACCGAGTTGATAATCTGCCATCCTACCCGATGAGCCCAGAGCAGAGTTACACTCTCTCATCGGCTTCTGTTGAAGATTTCAAGACCCAAAGTGGGCCCAA